TATATATATATATTTACTACAATGTGGGTAAATCTCAAAAACACTGAGAGGGAAACAAAACAGGTACAAAACATCACGTACAATTCCATCCATAGGAAATACACAGAAAAGACAAATTATGGAGATGAAAAATACATTACTGATTTCCTGAAGCAGAAGGTGAGGAAAATCAGGGATCAAATGTGTTCAATGGGTCTGTGAGCATGAAAGGAATGTTCTAAAGTTTGGCTAGGGTGACAGTTGCCCAAGTCTATAAATGTATTAGAAGCCATTGGATTTTACATCTAAAATGAGTAAATTCCATGGCATATGAAAAAGGCCTAAATAAAATTGTTTTCGAGGGGCAGTATGACAATAAAGTAATAGAATAGAGTAAGACGATATACCCTTTGACCCCCCCATATGTTTAGTAAATTTCCTTACAAGTATACTCAAGTGCATACAAAAATAGACTATTCCTAGAATTATTGTTCAAAATTATTCTAAATATCTTTAATTAGGTTAGTAGTTACACATAACGACTTATTTTATAAAATGAATTTGTTGGGGCATGCTTATAATTCTAGCACTTATGAGGCTGAGACAGGAGGACATCCTGGACTGCATCATGAGAATTTGTCTCAACAATTGTTTTACAATTTTGGAGAATTGTTTTAAGGACTAAGTTAGCTATTTGGATACAGTCGTGCTTAAGTGTAAAAAATATGTAACACATATGATAAGCTTTTATTTGTATATATATTTATGCATAGACTATATCTGAAAGGTGAACCCAAAATAATGTCTGTAAGGAGAAAAGGAATAAAGATCTTGACATCAATTTATGTATGTCTTTCTACTATTTCCATGTTTTCAGAAACAGAATTATTACCTCAATGAAAAAGAAATTTAGATTAATAAAAATACGAAGTAAAGTAAAAAATTAGTTGGTTACCGCTTGGAGATTAATAGTTATTCTACACTGAAACTTTATGAGGGAGCCAACATGAACCTTATGTTATAATTAGCTTACCATTTGTGAAAAGATCATACTAGTAGTCTTTGCGTTTATTGGTACAATGAGGAAAAGATAGCTGAAAAAAGGTTTAGTGTATAGTGGATGCCAGTATGTAAGAGATGAGCTGTCCAAACCCTAGATAGCTCAGTGAAGATTTGCTTCTAGAGGATTCAGAGATGAGTCCTTGCCTGCTATTGGTGACCGCAGCTTGTTCATTACTCAACTGCTGTTCTGCAATGGTGCATTGAAATAAAAATCCTGACCATCCCAACAGCTATTATTTATTAAATGTCTAGTCTGTGCCAAGTGTTCTGCATATGCACGTTATCACTAATCAACACGTCGACTCTGCAGTGCAGGATTATTGTTCTGTTTCATCTAAGGAAACAGGCTTAGAGAATAATTCTTTGCAAAACAGTCCACAGATGGCATGTGCTAATAGACTGAGGACTCTCTGATGTCATCAGCTAGCATTTTCCCACTAAGTATTATAGCACAATGTGAGCATTCTTTCATGATTTGGATGGCCAAATATTTTTACATCAAGGTTTAAAATCTTACCTGTTCATCTACCTCTTGAATATTATCAATATCAGCACCGTTTGTTTCAAACTTGCCACAAGTGCCACTAAGAGATGAGCTGCTGTCACTTATGCTGCCTTCAGGAGTGCCTGTGACACTGTCCCCAGCTGGCCGTGAAGATACAAAGAGGCTGATGTCGGAATCATCATCACAGAACCTGTTCTCAGCATCCATCCCCTGCACTTTTGCTGGATTGTAGGGTTTCAGGAAGGAGGAATACACATATCCTTTCACAACTGGATAGGAAAGAAAGAGAACCAGGGTCATGAGTGTACTTTTCTCAAATGTGTGCTCAGAGGAGCATGCAGAGACTCCTGGGAAAGTATCAACGTGAAGAAGGGTAGTGGTATTGGGGGCAGGGTGAGAAACTTACTCCCTGTGTCCACAAGCCACCTGCTTGTACTCCCAAGTGGATCTTTCTGTTCCACCACAGCCACTAACTCTCCTCCCAGAAGATTGATGTCATGTTCTTGGGTGGCATTGCACTTGCGCTTAGCTTGGTACAGTTCCTCTGCACCATATGTGGACAGAAGTTTGGAGCGGTGAATGTCAGTTTGACGTGGCACTTCTGGCTGGGAAAAGTAAGTTGTTTTGGTTTAGATGGCTGTACACTGAAATCCTCATTGAACTGTTTCTGGAGAATTTTAATATAGAAATTATATATACCAACTTGGGTATATTTCAAGGTAGAGGCTTAGATTAGGCTGTAACTGTACTCAGCTGAGTTTTTCAATGAAAAATTCTCTAGTAAGAACATGAGAGCAGTGTTGTAGAAAAGAAAGAGAATTCAACTAAGGCTAAGAAAGCAGAGGTTCAAGAGCTGGCAAGGTGGTTCAAAGGGCAAGGGCACCTGCCTCCGTGCTTGATGAACCTGAAGGAGAGAGCAGACTCCCACAAGTTATCTTCTGACCTTTAAAAGTATTTATGCACACGCACACACACGTGTGTGCACGCACAATATTTTCCCAAGAGATTCTAATCTCTCTTGAATGGTAAATCACATTTTAACCCTTTGCTATTTTGTAGGTAATCCTTTGCATATTAAGTACTTTATACTTTTTAATTCAGTAAATTTCCTATGTGCTGCTTTTTCTGGGAAATATCAGGCAGGAGTCAAGAAGAGACACTTTCCAAGCAAGGCGTGGTAGTGCACACCTTTAATTCCAGCACTTGGGAGGCATGTGAGATCAAGGCCAGCCTGGTCTACATAGTGAATTCCAGGCCAGCTGGGTCTACAAGGAGACCCTGTCTCCAAAAAAATGGGGGATAGGGAGAGGCAGAGACAGACAGACTGAGACTTTCCAGACTCTGGCACTAAGTAACTTTGAGAAAGCCACTATAACTTTGGAGCCTGGCAGTGAAGTGAGTTGAAAATAATGAAGGGCTGCACTTAAGATTTTCCTCTTTAAAATCCTAGGCAAGAGATACTGAGTGCCCATGTGTGAAGTGCAAGTCTGGGCATGTTAGGAGATACATCATGAGTAAAACAGAAACAAAAATTACTGTCTTATGGAGTTTATAATATAAAGCGTAGAAACAGAATTTTACCTACAATAAGAAAATTATACATTATTAAAATGAGTGATGTGGAAAATAGTATACTTCAGTTTGGATGAAGCAAAGACATGATTTTTGTTATTGTCACGAATACTATTAAACTCACCAGTGTCTGCATAGGTTTCTTCTTTTCAAAGCTAAGTTTCCTCTCAATAAAGGTGGCACTATTATCCTTTACAAAATTCAGATTTTGAACCTCTTCTAGCACTTGATTCTGAATCTCAGAGATCCTTAAGACCAGCAGCGGCACCTGAGATAGAAATGGCATGACATTTCCAGACAGCCAATCACATTGGGTATTAAATATGGAAGAGTTGTGATGACATGGAAAATATAAGATAACTCTACCAGGAAAAAAATCGTGACAAAACTAGAATTTTTGTATAAAGCTAGTCTAGTTTGTTATTTCTAGAAGCCCCACAAAATGATAAGACTAGTTTTCTTTTTTAACTTTAAAGTCTAGATAGAATAACAGAACTAGCAAGAAAGTCCTGGCAATCAAGCTCGGGAACTCACTGTGGTAGGCACCTCTCTAAGTGGGAGAGTGGGAGGATGAAACAAGAAACATTGTTAAGAGTCTAGTTTTAGAACAAATCGACTTAAAAAAATCAGATTCCCGTCAGGAGAGAAAATCTTTGCCCTGATTCTCAAAATTAGATCTTTTTGGTTCCTTTGTTTTGTATGCAGCATTAGGGTGCTGGGGGGATCAAATCCAGGACCTCATACATGCTAGACAAGCATTCTACCACTAATCCATACCCCTAGGTGGCCTTTCATGATGGTCTCAGTGAGTTGAAATTTAAGATGTGTAGAATATGGAAATGATACCTGATGCCATCTAACTTTCAAGTTTAGGCTAAAAATATTGCAACTCCAGCTGGTTCTCCTCAAAACACTCACTCTAGAAGACTTTACTCAATGGGAAAAGGCTAACTATACTGTAGTCATCATATAAAGAGACCACATTGAAAGATAAGAGGAGGGAAAGGAGGGAGGGAGGAAGGAAGAAGGAGGAGGGGAAGAGGGGGAGGTTGGGGGGAGATATATCAATCTCTTTAGAGTCCCACCTCTTTTAATACACAGCTGTGTAAATCTTCCATCATCATCCCATCACCGATCTCAGAAATGGACCTGAAGGTGTCTCAAGTCCCAGTCTGATTGTAACCTCATGAGGAACTCAAGAGAATGACCAACCTTAGCTTAGTGGACCATGGAACCACAGGAGACAAGGATACTGAACAACTATGCCATCATGCTTTGTGTGACTTAGTTGATCTCCAGGGTATTTTCTATTTCTTTAAAGTTAGATGAATACCTCTCCCCTTCCTAGGCAGAAGATGAAGTTTGCTTTTACCCAAATGATAAACAGAGTCCCTACACCGAGGTACCTTAGATACAAATAAGGGTAGGGGACCCATATTGGAAATAAGGTAATAAGGAATTAGATGTACAAAAGACCCCAAACCATGCCACTAACTACTCAAATAGGCTGTTTCATCATCCAGACAAAGATTTGAAAAGCTCTGTGGTTATCTTGATGGGCCCAATAAGAAAGACTTAAAAGATACTATTTTAAAAAATATTTTTATGTTTGTAGCAGTCAGAGAACTACTTTCAGAGTATGGTTTTCTCCGACCTTGAGGTTGTTTCTACTGCTGCACTGCTTACTCCAAGCCAGTTGGCCCAGGAGCTTCCAGGTGTCTTCCCTTTGTACACATCCCATCGCACTGTAGCAGTGCTGGGACTGCAGATGCGCACCACTGTGCATCTTTTTTATAATGTTGATTCCAGAGATTGAACTCATGCCATCAGGCTTGCGAGGCAAGTGCTTTTACCTAAGGAGCCATCTCACCTGCCCCTAAAGATACCATTAGTGGAGATGTCTGAATGAAACAACAGATCACCCAATCACCATGCTTATAGTTTTCAAATCCTACCCATGTGTTCAGTGTTGCCAGTGAGTCCCCAATCTTTTTCACTGATGAACAAGAACACTAGACATCCTACGGGTTCCTCTTATCTAAAGACAAGCAAACCATATTAACTGTAAGAAAACCAAAAGCCTTTAAACAGAACCGAAATTTTAAAAAATCGTAGATGGTTTAGAAGATTGAAATAGA